AGGATCGTTTTCATTTTAAAACATAAACGCACCAGTGTAAATGTAGCCTTACATCTAAGGGGGCTGGGACTCATTCGCACTATAGCCTCACGTGTGCACCACATCTCTGAGTGTAACCGGTGTAAACTAGTAGGTGTGTTCGACTTGATGTGAACTGACTGTGCAGACCGATCGGAGTAATACAGTACCACGAGAGCAAAAGAGAGCAGACTGCTCCGTGCGCTTTCGAATCGCTCTCGCGGATGTCAAACACTGATCGATCTGCGCCGCACCTCTTCTAGTCAAACACACCGGCTAGTGCTGCAGGCTTATTGGCTCACTGACGCTGATGAGATTAACCCATTAGGTATCGAAATTTGGTACCGAACGACGAGATGTTTTTCGATACTCGATGGTATCGAGGCATTTCGGTCGGTGCCTAAAAAGTATCGAACTCGATACCCAGCCCTAGGTGTAGCTGGTCTAGATTGGTGATTTGGCTATTTTGACCTGCTAGACAATTTTGGTCAAGCTGGTAAGGGATAATTCTCCCAAAAATGAATATTTTGTCATTTACTTACCCTCATGTCTTTCCAAATATGTATAATTTTTTTTGCTTTTGTGAAGCACAATTTGACTGTAATTTGTCAGTTGAGCTCAATGTGCGTCAGTGTTCTTTTTGATCCCACTGTTTTTCGTTGTATGGACAAAAATGCTTTAAAAAATGTTTGGAATGACACAAAGGTAAATAAACGATGATAGAATTTTCATTTTTGGGTGAACCCTCCTTTTTAAAGGTTGCTAGACCACCTGGAACTATCAACAATAAAGATACCATAAGCTAACTTGTCAAATTTAAATAGGTAGAACTTGATTTTTTTCCCGCCAGGACATAAGGGTTCTGCATTAGCTAAAAGTGTAAAAGACATTTTGATTAGTCAGTGTATTTTACAGTCAGTAATGTCATGCTCACTAGATAACAAACACATTTTTACACATTTGTGGAAAATTGGCCTTCAGGAAATGGTGCAAAGGAAATCGTACTGTATGTTCAGTGAGAGGACTGGGGTTTGTGAATAAATGAGCGTATTGGTTGTGCGAGCTGCTGTGAATTGGCTGCTGGCTCTGCAGCAGTAATGTTTTACACTAGGCGAGTGTGAAGAGTGTATGTTTTATAAACCTCTCTCACATGGATTGTAGGGCAGACTACTGGTATAAAAGTGATGAATGGCCATAAAGAGAAGCTATAGAGGCAGGTGAAGCTCTGCATCGCTAGACTGGCTCAAGTAAAAGAGCAGTTGTAAATTAGCCGTTCGGGAAATAGTACGTTTTTTTCCATCACTGACCTTGACGTAGAACATCTTATGACATCGGTCCTCAGTGATTTGGCAGATGGTTAAATTGAGCTGACTCATAACAAACTAAACCACAGAAAGGAGAAGGCTGTTTCTCTCTCACTCTCACTCTCTCTCTCTCTCTCTCACACACACACACACTTTGTTTTTCTGTATGAAACCTGTCAAAGTTAGCTTGTCATGCCCAAAGCTTCTCATATGAGGAAGTTTATTTGTTTGCTTGAAATTTATATTAGACATGCTGATTTTATCATTTTTGCAGGAATCAAACTGAAGGATAGTGTTGTAAATATATACAAAATTCCTCAATGGTCCTCATAGAGGAACTTCCCTATGAGGTCATTTCCTCTGTTGCGAATACTAAACACATGTCTCCCCTTTTACACATTCCAGCTCGGACACTGAATGAATCACTGCTCCCAGCCTCATATCTGCCTTATATTCTAATGTTTGCTTCCCCACCCCCCCATTTATTTATAATTTTTTTTCTTGTGCTCTGAAGTCTTAACGTGCACAAAAATGAGACTCCGTTTACCTAATAATGTATCAGTAATATTTTCCTTCATATTACCAAACATTATCCAGAAAGATGCTATTTTAGTGAAGTACAGTCCTAATGTTTTATAGGTTGTGCTAAGGAGAGAAAACACCCAGTCTGAATTTAAAAGGCCCCTGTGCTGACTGACCTGCTCTACCACAAACACGGTTCTGCTCTGCACACTGTCTCTGGCACACACACACACACACACAGACACACACACACACACACACACTTGCATTTGTGGTTTACGGGAACACTCCATGGACGTAATGGCTGTTATATTGTACTGTGCGATAGAAAATACAGTTTATTTTCTATCGCCCTACACCAACGCTACACCTAAACCTACCCCTTACAGAAAACTACTGGCAATGTTTTTTAAGCCTTTTGTTTTATGGGGACACAGGAAGTGTCCTCATAAACCATGTTTACTTTGTAGTACCCATGTCATTATACACATTTGTGTCATCATAAACCATATTACACACACACACACACACACACACACACACACTGATTATGTGTTAGACCTTTTGCTGGGGAGAAAGAGGAACTTGCTCTTGCTGTCTTGACTTTTTTAACTTGAAGCTATTTATGTGTCTATTTTAATCATGTGAGGGTAGAAGTTGTATATAAGATATAGGCTATTGGATGGATGGAAAAAAGCAAGGTCGCTATATATATATATTTAGAGAGAGCGAGAGAGAGATGGGTGGGAGGATGGAAAAAAGAATGGATGATAGCCATGAGGAAGGATAGATAAAAAGGGAAGGATGAAAGAAAGGGAAAAAAGATTGTCGAGTGCAAAGAAAGAATGGATTGATGATTGAAAAGAGGATTTATGGACGATGAATAGGAAATAAGAAAGATGATTGAAAGAAAATAAAAGAGAAAGAAGGGTGGATTGAAAAAAGAAAGATGGATGGATGGATGATGATAAATAAGGAAGGATGGATATGAAAAGATGGATGGATGAGTGGAAAGAAGGAAGAATAAAAGGATGGGTGGAAAGAAGGACGTATTGATGGATGAATAGGAAAAAGATGGATGAATGTAAGAAAGAAAAAAGGTTAGAATGATGGGTGGGTAGATAGATAGATAGATAGATAGATAGATAGATAGATAGATAGATGGGAAAAGGGTGGATATTGTAAGCATGGATGTATAAAAAAGGTGAATGGATGGGAAGAAATAATAAAGAATAGGAAAAACAAAACGGGATGAATAAATATATGATGGATGGAAGGAAAGAAAGAAAAGAAAGATGAGGACAGAAAAAGAAGAAAAGAAAAGATGAAAAGAAAGATGGATGACAGATGGAAAAAAAAATGAATGGATGGAAAAAAGGATAAATAGGTTAAAAAGGGATGGATGGATGTATAAATAGATCGATAGATCAGTAAACGGCAATCAAACTTGTCTTTCTCTCTGTAAATAGCTTGTTCTCTGTATGCAAATGTTCAGCTGATACTGATTTGAGTTTATATCATGCTCAGACATGCAGTACAAGGATCACTTACAGTTTTGCATTATTATGAAAATAACGGTACATTTATTTGAGATGCTTTTTTGAGACCCTCTGCTCAGTGTTTGTGTAGACCACCATAATTTCCCCCTGATTGTTTACTCACATTTGATCCATGTTGCAGGTTATAATGGGCTGGAATCAGATAAGAAAGAATTGTTGAAATGACAAACATGGATTATCAATAGCGTGGAGAGATATTGATGTTTTCTTCCTCTGCAATTTTGAGGCTCATACATGAGACTGAAGAACGGAATGTTGTTACCTGCACAACAATATTGGCTCAAACAGCCTGAAGAAGCCAGCAATCATATATATTTACCCAACAGCCTCAGCAAAATGTCATTTTCAAAGCCAGATATTGTTTTTGTTCATCACGTACCAGATGTTGAAGTCAATTGTGTCAACTTTATGTTTTTATTTATTTATTCGTTTCTGTGTTTTCTGTGGCTGTCTTTTGGAACCGAGAGGCATTGTAAAATATGAGGTTTATCAAACTTTCAGCGCTCAGCTATTTTGACGAGCTTCGGCAATACATCACTGACAACTCCGAGCGGCCCGGCTGCACTGGCACGAGAACGTCAGCACGGGAGAGGGAGCGATGCGTTTTTGAAAGTGATTTATGCAAAGCAAAATAAATGACGCGCCGTGGCCGGCTTGTAAAGTGCAGCCTTTGAATGGAAGTATAGCGGATTAACAGCTGTGCTGCACTCTTTCTGTACTCCTGCCAAGAGAGCCGTGCTGGACATGACCACTCGCCATGAGCTCAACATTTCCACTCCTCACGTGTCCTGTAGTGTCGCCCATTGGCCCTGGAAAGTGTGTTCATAAGTCAGGCTGAGAACGACGATGGGAAACACTGAGCCCTCCCTCGTTTTCATTTTAGAAAATACATTCATTTGAATTGTCAGTCAGTGAATGCGTAAGTAAATAATATATGAGATCATTTTGTTCCACTGAAATGCAGCAGAATACAGGAGAACGCTGCGCTGGGACATTTAAAGTTTCACCAGGTGTTTTGTTCTCTAGTATTTCCAGACTCAATTATTTATTTGAAATTATTTGTAATTACATTAGCAAACAAAAAACCTTGCTATTTTAGCATTATCTATATACTGTTGTAGTGTTTCATAATATTTTGTATTAGCTTTTTAGTAGTTTTATGTCTTCTAAAATTTATGTTTTATTTTATTTTGCAATAGATGTGTAGTGATTCTGCTTGCATTCCTTATATTGTTGCTTGATTGCAGTACTGTTCTTTTAGCTTCTTTTATTAATTAGTTTGCATTATTAAATAGTTCTTTTTTTTTGATGTTGCAAAGATCACAGTTTGTAGACATGTTTTTCTTTCTAAAAATACCCTAATCTATTACATTTCTCTTCGCTTCTTTATTAACAATAGTGACAAAGGAGACATGATCAGGAGACATGATCCACATGATTTAGTTTATTTTATTACGCTATTTTAGTTATAATATAAACAGCCCAAAAAAGATTACAAAAAGCTGTATATATATATATATATATATTCATTTTGTGTTAAAGGTGTATTATTGGGTGTGCATGTCTTGATGGAGTTGTGAATCTGTGTTTTGGACAGGTATGGATGAGAGGACAAGCCAAGCATCATGGGCCTCAGGTAGCCAGTCCAGCCCGTCCTACGAGTCCTCCAGGGTAAGACCGGTCTTGCCTCACCTCACTTGACACACACACACACACAAACACACACACAAACACACACACACACACACACACACACACACACACACACACACACACACCCACCCACCAGCTATTGTGATCACACCAGTACTGTGCATTTCCATTAGTCCAATTCAGAGTTATCTGTCCTCAACCAAATGAAACATTAGCATCTGATTTGCTTACAGGATGTATATTAACATATCACTTTTGAGAGATAAGTCTGGTTCCTCCAAAAATCATTTAGAAAGACACTTTGTTTGTAAGCTTGTTGGTAGATGTGCTTATTTGACATATGCAACTGATAACTGATAAAAAGAAAAATAAGTGTTTAAATAAAATGTAATCAAATGTGATGATGCTTTATGCAAAGACTTCTGCGGACATACTTTAACCGTTTTTCATTGTATTTTAAGGTGGCTTTTTTTTTAATTAAAAAGACAATACATGTACTTTACAGTGAGATACTGTTAAGTATAAACACACTATCATTCAAAAAATTTGGGGCCAGTAAGATTGTTTAATTTTTTTTGAAAGAAGTCTTGTATGCTCAATCTGGAATTATTTTATCAAAAATACAGTAAAAATGGTAATTCGTTAATGTGATGGCAAAGCTGAATTTTCAGCAACCATTACTCCACTCTTGATAATCATTCAATGGTTGATTTTTTTTCCCAGGCTCTGTGTGTGTGAGACTGTACGCATTTGGTGCAGGAAGCATTGATGCATTTCAGACATACCATAAGCTCAGATTGATTTTCATGCATGCAAATCATACCCACCTCATCAAAATAAGAAGAAAAAAATCAGCCATGGTTGTGATTTTTATTTTGCGCTCAACCTAGTGCAGATTGTGAAGGTCTCTCGCTTCCTATTTGTTTGTTTGTCTTTTCCACAATAGTGTGTTCAGGGTGCCCTGTATGAATTTAATTTCATGTCAATCTCCTGTCACTTCCTATCAGAAATCAGTCAAATGTCAGAGGCTCTCACACCACATTGTCTTGTTTATTTCCGATGCCCTTGCTCTTCGCACTTCTACAGGCGATGGCTTTGCCGGCGGCTTGATTTGAATTATAAGACGGAGACGCATGAGATATCTTTGCTCTAGGTGCATGGAAATTAGTGGTTGTGACATTGCTGGGGATGAGATCAGCATACAGCTGTTTGCACCTCTTTTCAGTGTGTGTGTGTACACACACACACACACACACATCAGATGAACACAATCAAATTGTTTAACTGTACTGAAATACTGTGTGTATCTGTGTGTGTGTGTGTGTGTGTGTGTGTGTGTGTTTGTTTGAGTACTTGGGTTTCCAAAGAGAAATTAGCATAAGTGTTTGTCATTTCCCAAGCATTCAACCTGAAATATAATCATCATAATTTCCAAGCCAGCGCCTCCAGCTAAAAAAAAAAATTTGCAGCACTTATTTGCGTGAATGGCCATAACTTTACCCCTTATACCTAGTGATGAATCCATGTCCAATTCTGCATGGCATGTTTTAGGCCAGAGAATGGTGAGATTTCCTAAACTTGAGTTTGGCACTAATCAGACAGGATTTTTATTAAGACTGGAGTAATGATGCTGAAAATTCAGCTTTGCCATCACAGGAACAAATTACATTTTAAATTATATTAAAATAGAAAACAGTTGTTTTAATAATATTACACAGTATTGCTGTTTTTTTTATTTTTTATCAATATATACAACTTTGGTAAGCATAAGAGACTTCTTTCAAAAACATTTTAAAAATCTTCCCGACTCCAAACCTTTGAATTATAGTATATGTAATTAAGTGAAGGAATGTATTAAAATGATGATTATTGCTGTATGTAGTGGCCATTCTAAACTGTTCATGATCAGACTCCCCAGGTGGATTTAATTTAATTTTTTATATCAGATTAGATGTCAGCAGTACTCGGACCACCAGCCATTGTTTAGCTCAGAAATTTGTGAAAGGTTTAAATGCATAATGAATGTGTACCAGGCAGTGCAACAGGAAATTTTTGTTTAGTTACAGTATTCAGCGAAGGTCAGATTAAATGAGGAAAAGCATTGTGAAAAAAAAACCATATACCGTAATCACAGATGTTCTTATCGGGACAGAATTACATTTCTCAGAGGACCCCAGAGTTAGAAGAAAACCAGCAGATATTTTGCTCCATCGTTTTTACAGAGAGTTTGTAAAAAAAAACACAGACATCTTCAGTTTGAATAGAATTAAAATCACTCCGTTTGAAACAGTTGTAGAGTTTTAAGGCTGGAATACACTATACAACAATTTTTGCCCCGGTTTTCTTTCTGGACATGTGCTAGTTTCTAAAAATCAAAACCAGAAAAATTGTGTAGTGTATTATGTGCTCTCTCATTTTTTTTAGCATCTGACTATGATTCCTTCCAGTCGGATGATTTTAAACATTTGATATTTTGAGCCAATTTTAGAACAAATAGTTTTCATTCGTCATGCATGTCCTAGCAACGAGGAACACATTTCTAAATGCGTTTGTTGTATTTGCAACAACTTGAATATCTGGTAGTGTGTGACCCTCATTAAGTGCATTAGGTCGTTGATGCCCAGTTTTTGTTCTATAACAATTTACAACATTGGCAAATCTATGATGAGTAGCGTTTTAAACTCTAAACAGATTTTGAAAGTTGTGTAGTGTATTCCAGCCTGTACACTTACAAGTTACTATTCAAACTTACTTCTTGATATTAATTGGTTCGCAGCAGTGTCCATTGCTTACGGCCAACAACAAAGTTAGGAAGCTATTATCTGAGGTTTGATCTTATCGTGAGAATCTAGCTCAGTCTTTTGTGGTTTACCCTTAAAAAGCCACAAGAGCTTTAGCAGAGCTGCAGCCGGTTGTTGTGAAGTACCTGCTAGATTTAATCAGTTTCTTTATCCGTCACATTACTTTTTCACAGTCTTGCTACACACAGATCTCCTGTCAGATAATTAAATAGGGGCTACGGCTTTTCTGTATTTCTGTGTTACCTGCGCAGAGCACGGGATCCTATCAACTAATGTTTCCCTTGTTCTCTCACACAAAAACTGTGAACCATTTTAAGCAGGCTCTTTTTCACAAGAGCGACTCTCTCTCTCTCTCTCCTTCTGCCTCTCTGCACACGTGTGATTAGTGGACTGTGAACAGACTGGAGCCCCGGCTAGCTGACCTTGGCCCACAGCCAGGCATCACATCCTGGGCAGCCGTGGCTTCAGGCCTCCCATCTGAAAGCCCAACCCGCATGCACCACCTCTGCCGCGCACCCTGCTGTCCCACAGTGCCTCGCTCCCGTCCATCATGCCACTATCACCCATCCCCAACGCCTTAAAACGGGACCAGGGCATTTACCTGGGATGCGAAGGAGCATCTGAGAGATGTTTTCTTGAACAGAGCGCTGGTTTGCATGCTTAAGCAGCAACATGGCAGTTATTTAGACCAGACTAGCCATTTGCCGCTGACAGCGAGAGCATGAGTAACAAGCAGCACATTCTGAGATCACAAGGCAGCATGATTGATGATCTAATGGTCTCACCGTTCTCCTCATCATCCCAGCTTCCCATCCACTGTACTTTTCTGACATTCAGAGAGCAGCCATTGACCAGACTCAAAAGGCTAGGAAGGACGATATGGATGATAAAGAGTGTTATAGTGTATCCAAAAAGGAAACTTCTGTCATCATTTACTCACCCTCGTGTCGTTTCAAACCTATAAGCATGTTTGAACTTCCACAAGAACCAGTGAGGATTGTTTTCACATGCCACGCAAATACATAAAAGCCTAAATTAAATCTGTTTATAACATAAGGTGAAGATATGGAAGCCCATTTCTGCCACTAAATAAAAAAGAAAAAAGGTAATTGCGATTTTTTTTTTTTTTCCCCTCACAATTGCAAGTTTACATCTCGCAATTCTGACTTTTTTTCTTAGAATTGTGTGATATAAACTCGCAATTGCAAGTCATAAGGTCAGAAATTGTGAAATATGCAATTGCGAGAAAAAAGTCAGAATTGCGAGTTATATCTTGCAATTGTGACTTTATTTTTCACAATTGCGAGTTTTAATCCCACAATTCTGACTTCATAACTCGCAATTGTGAGTTTATATCACACAATTCTGAAAAAAAGGTCAGATTTGCGAGATGTAAACTCTCAATTGCAAAAGAAAAAAGAAGCCAGAATTGTGAAATTAAAAGTTTCAATTACCTTGTTTTATTTTTTATTCAGTGACGGAAACAGGCTTCCATATGAAGAAGAGATGAATTCGATTGAAACCATTCGATTCATATAGATTATTTTTATGATAGAATTTTGAACTTTTTGAAGCTTGAAAGTTTTGGGTGAAAGGACTTTCAGTGGATGGACAGAAATTTCTCAGGTTTCATTAAAAATATCTACCTTTTTGTTCAGAGCATTAACAAAAATCTTATGGGTTTGGGACGACATGAGGTTGATCAATTGATGACAGAATTTTAGTGTTTGGGTGAACTATCCCTGTAATTATATTAGTGCATACATGTGCCTGCATCTGTGCGCTACCCTCAGTCGGAAAGCTTACTAAATCATACCAAATTGCTAGGGAGGACAGTGCAGTTGGGGTGCTTGTTTTTCGCCTGCCACCCCCTCCCACTGTTTCTCTTCAGGGGAGAAGCCATTAGGCAATTCATAGCGTTATTAACACAAACGGCAGGAACACGATAGGGAACCTCTCTGTATCGATTCTGCCTCGCGCAACACTCCATCACCTTTGAAATTACTCAGTCGCCATCCGTTTGGAAAACAGACACCAAAAAATCATGGATCGTAATAGTCTGCGATATATTTTTATGGTTGAAAGTGGAGAAGGAAAAGCCCACAGTAATGGACAGCCGGCAGCTGTAGGCCGCTCAGCAGAGAGTTAATATGGTTTGGGGAACACATTTGACTGTAGCGCCAGGCGGATTTTCACCGGCTCCAGGATTAACACAGCCACAGAGTATCTTTTATTGGGGGGACTCTGAGTTTTAAAGGCCCATACTGTGACCGATATTTAGACCTAAGCCCCCCAAAGCTAAACGGTAATGAAAGGGCAGACCTCAGCTGTCGAGGCGAGAACCTGACTTATTTATTCTACTTTTTAAGTACAAGCAGGCTTTTGGCATAAAGACATGATCTGTGTCGAGCTCTAGTAAACATGTCACTTCATCAGTTTTATGTCATTTCTGATGTGTCGTACCACCGCTTTGCATGCACACAAATCCTTACCGGTCTAGCACTTTTTTTTTTAACAATATACACACATAGAAATGTTATCATGAATGAAGAGTGACAAAAAGTAGGATTGCCACACAAAGCAAAAATGTTGCCTAGCAACGGCATTTACAACCGAGCTAGAAACTTCTAGAAGCATCTCTAAAGATGTTCACTAGTTGTGATCTTAACAATAAGTTACTCTTTGCTTAGAACACTAAAAAATAAATGTCTGAATTATTGTTAGATCCTTAGGAATGGCACTGTGCTAACAATCAAGAGCATGGAATCAAACAAACCGTTTTAATGTGACATGAATTTTGTTGATGAATGCAAATGGCTCCTTTTGTTGTTGTTTGTGCCCCATTAACTTTATTACAATTACACAATCACAGCACAAGCGCTGTCTTCTCTTCAGGGCATTGTTTGCCCTTTTAATAAAATTCATCAAAGACTTTGAAGAAAGTGTTTTTTAATGAGGAGAGTGGAGAAATATCGATCGTTTCGGGGGACAGTTGACCAGTCGTGCTCCCCTCTTTTCCCCCAGTAATTAGAAGAGTGTCATAGCACTCAGTTAGCAGGTCCAGCTAATAATGTGTTTAATGCTGTGATCTCTTTCCCCCAGGAGTTTGGAGACCGCACTCATTATGCTGATCAGTTGAGTGACAGTCGATTAGTGTCCCATGAAGGATTGTCCCCAACACCTTTCATGAACTCCAGTATAATGGGTGAGTATCCAAGGTGATTCTGACCCTGTCTCTCTTTCACACCCGTCTTTCTGTCATCAATCCGTTTAGAGATGTGTGGACTGATCAGGCTCTTCTCTCTGAAGGCAGTCACCACAGGAAGTGGCAGAGATGGGTGAGGATGTTGTGTATTTGCACACTGACATATTTATTTATTTTAATGTTATTGTAAAATATTATAAATAAAAAAATAATTCAATGCAATACCATTCAGAAGTTTGGGGGTCAGAAAGAGTTTTAAATGTTTTTGAAAGAAAGAACGCATTTATTTGATAACAAAAAAATCAGTAAAAAACAGTAAAAGTGGGAAATCTTAAAATCTTTTAAAATAAATTGTGTTCTATTTTAATATACTTTGTACTAAAATAGAAACCAATCAAATAGTAATTTATTCCTGTGATAACAAAGCTGAATTTTCAGCATCATTACTCCAGTCTTCAGTGTCATATAATCCTTCAGAAATCATTCTATGTTATGTTAGAAGAATACCTTATGTTAGAATAGAAATTTCAAAACAACAGCAACTATTTGAAATAGAAATATTTTGTAACATTGTAAGTGTCTTCACTGTCACTTTTAAACAATTTAGTGCATCCTTGATGAATAAAAGTTATTTTCCAAAAGCTTTCTGTCTCTAAACATTTGAATGGTTATATATTAAGTTTTGTAAAATAGACATTTCAAAATGATTACATTTTATTTATTATAAAAGATAATAATCCCTGTTTTTTAAATCAGAAATGAAAGTCATGATGACTCACTCAGTAAGTGAGTCAGTCAGATTCAGTAACTGCGCTGACAGATTCACTGAAGAATTCATCAGAATGATTCACACAGATTTATGAGTCTTTTTTATGCATTCATTAATTAGTAATTCGTTTATGAATTGACCACAGACTACACTGATTAATAATATATAATAATGTAGTATTAGAAATGCATTATTTATTTTATATATAATTCATTATATATTGTATTATTATATATGGTATAATGCAATATTATATTAATTTTTCTTTAGCATCTGTCCTGCGGTGTGACTGTCTTCAGAAGTTGACCCTCCCCCATGGTGGAAGTCACACCATCAGTACAGTTTTCCATCACAAAAGACTGTCTGCTAGCTGGCAGAAAAGCCACCGGCTTCTTCCTGTGGCACACTGCATTTTTTTGCAGGGGAGAGTGAGAAGGGAAGGGAAGGGAAGGAAGGGAGAGAGAGAGAGAGCGAGAGAGAGAAGGAGGGGTTTCAGGGGGTGGTAGTGAAACAAACAGATGGGCCAAAAATCATTTTACACACACAAACCCCCTCAGCCACGGACTCTCTCAAATCTCTCTCCTCTTTCCGAATAGGTGTGTGAAACTCTACTTAACTTGCTCCACTTCCTCTTTTGCTTCCAAAAATGTAATTTTCCATCTGTATCAGCTTGTGAGTTTGTGCTTGTTTGGCCCCTGTTTTTTACTGCTTGTTTGCTGACTCCACAGAAGCAAAGCATAATACACATAATTCAGCATCAAGATGACGTGCAGTGCAGATTCTGAAAATTGCACACGGTTATTTCTGTATGTTGATGTTGTGGATAATTTTGTCATTGTGAAGTGAACATTGTATTGCTTCTATCGCTGAATCTATAACTATTTTCCTCGGTGCTGTCTTTCTTAAAGATAGCCCTTTTTTCCATAAAGTAGCATATCTGTTATCAGTATGTTATAGATATTTAATGCCACAATTTTATTTATTAATAAGCAGGGTGTCATTTGTTTATTAAGGTGTTTGTTCTTACTATTTTTCATGACAGTCGAGGTGACCAAGGCTTTAAATTGTACATTTTATTTGTATTTTGTTCAAAAGGTGATTAAGATAATGATTAAAAAAATGGCATTTTCTGAGATATTTATCAGACAAAATGGCTTGATTAGAGTCACAATGGGCTGTTTATCCCTTGAACGTGATTGATGGATGTTGTTAGATCTGAGGTCTCTCTGTCTGCTGCTATTGTGATGTGTTCACACATGACAGCTTTATGGGCTGCTGAACCCCGGCTCTTTGTAGCATCACCCTGGAGACCAGTTGCCATGTAAGGTGGCAAGTTTACGGATGGGTGCCACTGCACGAAGCCCACCGAAACAAAATGTTATCTCTCTACCAATTGATCTGCATTTGTGTGTGTGTGTGTGTGCATGGTGGAGGTAGGGAGGATGTTTGGTTTTCCTCTGTCCTGTTGTTGCAGCACTAATTATGCCTATAAGTAGCAAAATATGGAAATGATCTGGAACAATGATGTGTCAGGGAATTAGACAATCTGATTGCACAGCTAAATTGTCTGCGCTATCTTGCTGGGATTGGACGAGGAGACCGAGTCTTATCAAATTGAATTTCAGCAGTAATATCTGGGATTTACATGGAATTACCCATTCCGGAGCAACCTCATTAAATCATCTCTGAAAGGTTATTACTCACCAATGAATAAGGCAGAGCTCGAATGTGAATGTAATACAATTAAGCATTACCAACACACGAATGGCATTTCTGAGGGAACCCTGGCCTGTGAGTTATTCGTGGGTTTATGTGACCCATTTTTTTTCTTGCTTGTGCCATTTAAAAACAGAGCCGTGGTAATCTAAGTGGATTATCTCGAGACAAATCCCGGTGGTCTGCAGCTTCTTGAAGGAAATAGAAATCGTAGGCTGGCACTTGTTTGTTTACCTTTTCAAACTGTTTGCGGCTGATAAAACCTTCTCGAACCTCGCTTTTTAATTCAGACACATACATAAATAATACATAAAATGTAGCCTCATTTAAATTAGAATCTTAACACATGTATATCCTTGTTTGTCTACAACGTTAATATAAGAAATGCCTCTGATTTGCTTTCATAAACCATTATCCCATTAAGCGGTTTAATTTGAATGCTTCATTTAGTAGTCTTAAATATGCCTGTGGGGGCTGCATGTGTTGACCCGGTTCCATGCGCTCTCTAAGTGAAGTATGACATGTTGAGAGCAGCTTGGGGTTACCTGGGGTCAGCTATTGTGTATGATAATGAACTTGTTACAGTTTATAGTGCTAGGCAGTTGGCTGGTAATGACTGTTTATTTGACATAACATTTTAATTGGAGTAACTGCTGCTTGTTCTGAATAATGGAGATCCATTTTAAAGGTCACACTCTCTTCTGCTTCGTTTGCAATGGATTTGAGCTTATGTAGAGCTATCGGATGATAATAGCAGAATGTGATCCGTGTCCGCCTTTACTGCACGTTACCTTTGAGCCTGGTCTCTGAATGGATAGATATTTCGCTTTGTTGCATCATCTTCCTATATGGTGCATTTAGACCCCATGGGTAGGTGTGAGTGAATGTGGCAGTGTGTGTTTCTGCATGTGTCTGTGTGTTTGCTTGAAGAAAGGCCATGAGAGTGTCGAGGTCAGAGGTCAGTCAGTCTGCGTCGCACGTGCCGGTGCTCTGTTTCAATCCTCTTACCCAGCATCCTCCTCGCCTTTTTGCCTGCACGTGGCACCCACACTGTGACGGCTAAAACCGTCCTGTGCTGTACACAATCCTCCAATGCAGCAGCCGATGACATAGAGTCATTTGTAATCACAAACCTTGTCCGATATAAATTCAGTTCTGCAAAACATAAACTATTTCTGTTCCATTTTCAGGAGCCTAAACATAATTTGTAGCACAGTTTAACCCTATAATCAATTTGAAATAACATTAATCAGCCAGCCGTAGTGCACAGCCCGTGCTTGCATGTGTGCATGTCTGTTTGTAATGTGAGGCTGGAGTGTGTTGCATAATGATGACTATGTTGAAGTTTTAAGCAATATTTAATAAGGCTTAATGCAGCTTTAGATTAAGAAGAAATCTGCATGCACATAGAGAATCCTGCTTCTTCAGCGCAGTCAGTATTTACTGGTCAAACAGATTACCATCACAAAAGACAAATTAGTTTAGTACTTTGTTGACATTCCAAACTCCATGGGTAACAGTTGGCACAGATAGAGCCGACCTGGCTTTAGACTTGATGAAACGGTCTACAACAAAACATGAGTTTTAAATTGAATACTCATTGGGGGAAAAAAACGCTGCAATCAGTTGGACATGTGTTTTGCTGTAAACTTCCTGAAATCTAAGGTGAAGCTTGTTGCTTTGCAGCTCAAGGGAAGCTTGTGATTTGCGTTAGATGGGAATAATGCACATACATGATTTCAGGAAGCTGTGTTTCCTGGCAAAACGCTCACCTCTACTGGAGTTTAGTGCTGGTCTGTCGGGTCACGCTAATTTCCAGTGAACCTTTTTCCCAAAAGCATTGTGTTAAATAGTCATCAGCAGGGCCAAACGAAATCTGTGGCTGCAAAACTGCATGGAAAGCTGCAGAATTAGCTGCCATGATTCATACAGTTCTCTTTGCACTCACATTTTGACAAATGTTTTTGTTAATGCTGTCAAAATTTCAGCTAAATAGTTTTATAGCGTAAACCATTGACCAAAACAGTGACATTTAATCAGCGCTTCTCAGATGTTGTGTTTTGACAGTGTCAGCATTTATTTTGTTCACAAAATGTGGATAAGTCACAACAGGTAAACATTTCAGCAGTGTGGACGCACTTCATCATGACCTAAAAGCACGCTAAAGTGGTAATATGTAAAATTTGTTCAGTAGAAATAGTGAGTTGCGGCTCAACGAAGTTTACTGCTCTACTACTGGTTTATCACATAAGAACATGGAAAAGATATTAAAGTCCCTTATATTGTGACTTTAAATCGGTTAAGACGAATCTGCACATTTTCCCTCCAAATCAGCACAGAAAATGTGGAAAAAGTCATCAGTGACCTTTAGCGTTCAGTGACTCTGACTTTACCTCATCAGTCAAACACCCCCCTGCTACTCTTAGTTTCATCTTTAGCATTTGTCTTCTTTTTTACTGTTTTTTATTTTTTCATAAAGCCTCCGTAAAGATGACATGTATTGACTTTTTGACTA